TTTGGCCTTTTCTTATCTCGGAAACCGGGCTAAAATTTCTCATATGAACCCAAGGCAAAATTCATCCCGGTAACCGAGCCAGCCCCGTCAACCGGGCTCAGATGAAGAGGCCCTGAGTCTTACTGAACAGCGTTGTGTAAAGACAACCAATGTGTTTATAAACAAACAACAACTTTGCACGTGCATCACGCTAGTTTGCCGTCGTTTCACCACTACGATATGAAACTTGCTATTTTCACCAGCCCGCTTTAGGGAGTAGGTGAACACAACAGAAAAATTGTAGCTTTCTTTTTCTAAACTTATTTAAGTATAGATATGGTCCCAAAGAAAATTTCGCCAAGATTTGCTAAATTAAATGAAACTGAATAAGATCGGTGAAGTTTGTAATAGTGCGAATCACTAGTACTTTTAAGTGGCTTTATCGGTTTGTTGTCATCATCCAAAAATTTTGCTACGTACCATGGCAAAGTGACGTAAAGACTTAGCTGCGTACATTATACGAAAAGATTCTTTTCATATCTATAGCTACAATTGTAACTTATGACTGATGAACAATCTGTATAATGTAATTCCTCTCAACTCCTTATGGAAATTTCTCCACTCATTTGTTGAGGCGAAATATTCCGTGTGTTTGTTTCGCATGACTGCATTTCTTGTAATGGATCTGATTATTACCAATGCGGATTGGATCCAGTGCATAATTATTACCAGAAATAAAAGCCACATCGTCCACTCTGTTCATGTGGGTGATCCTGGGATCCCAGACTATTACGCAGTACTTGTAAAACTCCGCCTACGAAAACGTAGCATTCCCCGGACATGACAACTTATATGCAAAAAGACTCATCTCTTGTCCGGGACTGCCTAAACTTTGAATTCATCGCTGATATCACAGAGGAAAATGAAACCACTATACTATGTTCCTTTGAGGAGGAAAACTGTTAGCTTCCGGCGTCTCTCTTCATGGTTTACAAATGAAATCCGTCAGCTAAAACTAACCAAGAGACGGCTAAAGCGCAAAGCTTCAGGTTGATAGAGAAATCTAGTTAAAGCACTGTCAGCGGGTTAGATCCGAAATCTCGACGTCTAAAATGTCCTTCTACTCTTACTAAAGTGATCGACCAAAACAAGAATGATCATAAAGTACTGTTTACTACAGTAAACAAAATACTCCACAGGACACCGCGGATAAACTGTATGCTTCTAGTGAATCTCCAGCCACCAACGAAATCACAAGCCTTTGTCTTCACTATCTGATTCTAACGTTGAAACCACACCCACACCGTTTACTGAGTTTACTGCTTCGCTCCAGTCACTGATGATGAGCTTGCTAGACAGGTAAAAAAGATCTCGTTAAAATCGTGTCACACTGATCCAGTTCCAGCGTCTGTCCTGAAACACACTGTTTTGACGTACTTCTCCCTACCATAACAAGGATTGAAACTTATCACTATCTAGCGGAGTCATCCGGCGGCTATTACGGTCAGGTGGTCATGATAACTAAACAAAGTAGTATTGTAAAAGAATTTCTTCCTCTTTACCAAGCGAAACTTCTCATTTCTATATACTGTGTGCATTTAATAGGGGCACCTAACGCCGGTTTCCTCCTAAACAAATTAAAAACACTTATTAGGCTATCCAGAGTACTGGCTCAAAGATTGCTGCTCTCAGACCCTGCTTGAAGAAACCGTCCCTTGACCATAAGGAGTATATATTGTAGTTTCCGCCCTATTTCAAATCTGAAGTTTGCACCAAAAGCTATCGAAAAGACTGTTGCTACTCAACTAAATACAGTAGTTATGTGGTAGAGAACAATATGGATGACCTGTTTCAATCTGCTTATAAAGCCAACCACAGTACGGAAACGGCATTAGTAAAAGTCCAAAACGACGTATTGCGTACTATTAGATCTATCCGCGGCATTTGACACAGTGGACCACGCCATCCTTCTGTCTCGACTCTCTCAGAGATTTGGTATTAAAGGTACCGCCCTAAACTGGTTTTCCCCTTATCTATCTCAGGGGAAGCAGTTTGTCTGTGTCAATGGGACTGCATCTTCCCATCGTGATCTACCCCACGGGGTCCCCCGAGGTTCCGTTCTTGCTCGCGCCCCTATGTTATTCTTCATGTATACAGGGCCGCTAACCCACGTTATCCGCAAACATGTTAGGGCATCGTGTAAATCTGCCTTCTTCCATTTAAAGCAATTGCCAGTACAAGCTGCAGAGACCTTGATCCATTTTCTTGTGACCTCGAAAGTTGATTTTTGCTATTCACTTCTTAATGGTGTTCCTAATCAACTGAGACAAAAACTCCAAATCGTTCAAAACTCAGCGGCCAGGCAATTAACTTATATACCAACAAGCAGGAACACATTAAACCCGTGCTAAAACAGCTGCACTGGCTACCTGTTGAGTTCGGGATCCATTATGAAATCCTACTGATGACATTAAAATGTTTAAATGACACTGCTCCTGATTATCTTTATTTAAATATTTCA